CCTGTGGATAAGAGCATCTGTCTCAGAAGGTCAAGACGTGATATTGGGGGAACCCCCTTAACCTCTCCGGGCCTCAGTTTTCTATTCTGTAACATGGCCATGATAATGGGACCAATTCCACGGGGTCATTGGCTAATATGGTTAAAGGCATGTAAAGGCTTAGAACATGCTCAATCTTGGCCAGGGCGTTATCATGGCTGTTCCTATCCTCCCCTGAAGGAATGGGGGAGTTTGTATTGAGCCGTCTACTCATGACCTTGTAGATTTACTTATCTACATGACTGACCACTGATCAGACTAGCAGTTTGCTCCAGGGACTCAGCCCTTTTTTGGTCCATGCATGAAGTCCTGGGGAGCCAGTGTGACCTCGTCCTGGAGAGGGGCACAAGCATCCTCTGGGACTTGGCAGTTTAAGTTGCTTGGTGTCTACCTCTGAGCCTCGGTGGCCTCTCTCTAACTGCCACTGGATGAATCTGTGCCTTGGTCTGGGTAGACATTGGCCCATCTCATCTCTGTGGCCCCGTAATGCCCAGAATATACTGTGCCACCTGGGGGTCTTGGGAAATGTTTGCTAGGTGAATGAATGGGGGGGACGGAGAATGAGAAACAGAGGGAGAGAGACAGAAAGGAGGAATACATATGTATACAGTGGAATATTATTCAGCCTTAGAAAAGAAGATGGCTGGGCACAGTGGCCCACGCCTATAAGCCCAGCAATTTGGGAGGCCAAGGAGGGAGGATTGCTTAAGGCCAGGAGTTTGAGAGCAGCCTGGGCAACAAAAGGAAATCTCATCTCTTCAAAAGAAAGAAAAAGCATTCGGGCACAGTGGCTCATGCCTGTAATCTCAGCACTTTAGGAGACAAGAGGATAGCCTGAGCCCAGGGGTTACAGACCAACCTGGGCAACTTGGCAAGACCTCATCTCTACAACACATCAAAAACTAGCTGGGCATGATGGTGTGTGCCTGTGGTTCCAGCTACTTGGAAGGCTGAGAAGGAAGGATCGCCTGAGCCCAGCATGTTGAGGCTGTGGTGGCCATGAGCATGCCACTGTACTCCAGCCTGGGCGACAGAGTGAGAGACTCCAACACACAAAAAAATTAGCTGGGCATGGTGGCGCACACCTGTAGTCTCATCTATTTGGGAAGCTGAGGCCGAAGGATCACCTGAGCCCAGGTCATTGAGGGTGGGGTGAGACGTGATCGCACCACTGCACTCCAGCCTGGGCAACAGAGTGAGACTGGACTCAAAAACAGCAACCAAAAACGGCTGAACAACACAGAGTGGCTCATGCCTGCAATCCCAGCACTTTGGGAAGTCAAGGCAGGAGGATCACTTTAGCTCAGAAGTCTAAGACCTGCCTGAGCAATATAGCGAGACCCTGTCTCTACAAAAAAAAATTTTTTTTTTTGATTTGGAGTCTCACTCTGTCACCTAGACTAGAGTGCAATGGCCGCTCCCCACCACTGCAGCCTCAACTTGCTGGGCTCTGGCGATCCTTCCGCCTCAGCCTTCCAAGTAGCTGGAACTACAGGCGTGTGCTACCACACGCAGCTAATTTTTTTTTATTTATTGTAGAGATGAAGTCTCGCCAAGTTGCCCAGGCGGGTCTCGAACCCGTGGGTTCAGGCAATCCACCTACCTAAGCCTCCCAAAGCGCAGGATTACAGGCTGAGCCACCGAGCCTAGCTGTCTACAAAAATTTTTTTAAAAATTAGATGGACATGGTGGTGTGCAACTGTAGTCCCAGCTACTAGAGAGGCTGAAGCAGAAGGATCGCCTGAGCCCAGAAGGTTGAGGCTGTGGTGAGCCATGATCATGCCCACCGCATTCCAGTCTGGGTGACAGAGTAAGAGCCTGACAAAAAAAAAGTAAAGAAAAGAAGATGCTAGCATTTGTCACAACTTAGGTGATCCCATGGGGCATTATTCAAAGTGAAATGAGCCAGACATAGAAAGAAAAATACCACCTGACCTCACTAATATGTGAAATCTGGAAGAAATAAAAAAGACAGTCAAATGCAAAGAGAATAAAACAGAGGTTGTCAGGGATGGAGGTGGAGAGGAAATGGGAGGTGTGGGCCAAAGGACACAAGGTAGCCACGTAGGACATAGAGGTCTGGAGCTCTGCTATACAACACGGGGACGACAGGTAACATGGCATATTGCACTCAGAACTCTTGCTGAAAGGGTAGGATTTAAGTGGCCTTGCCACCCAAAGAGGGGTTACTGTGAGAAAACGGGTATGTTCATTTGCTTGACTATAGTAACCATTTCACCGTGTCTGTGCATATCAAAACATCATGTTGTACAGGTTAAATATGTACAATGAAGTCTTTTTAAAAAAGGAGGAATAGAGTGGGAGGGAGGGAAGAGGATGGTAAGAGGTGGAGAATGACAGGTACACATGGGGTGGGTGGGGAAGAACCAGAGAAAGAAGGACCCAGGCAGAGAGAGGAACAGAGAGCAGATCACAGAGGAAGAGAAAGAACAGTGCACAGCGGTAAACCCAGGGAACAGGACAGTGTGAGGGCTGGCGGGGCAAAGGGGATCTCCACCATCACCCAGCCCCCAGCCTGGTCCCAGAAGGCCTTGGGACATCGTTCTGAATGAATGAGTGAATGGGAGAGCTCTCTTTGCCTGGAAATCCTGCCCCCTCCTGGTAGCCTGGGGAATTACCACACGCACCACAGGACTCAGCTTCAACTCAGGCCATACTGGGGAAGGAGTCTTGTCAGGGCTGCCCTGCTGCTGGGTGCTACTTCCTCCTCTGGAGCCATCTCTGTCTTCCACCCTCACAGGATCTGCATCTCCTGCACTCCCAGAACTGGAACTGGCATTAGACAGGGCTGCAGTCAAGGGCTGGCTCAGCAGGCCTGGGTTTTCCAAACCCTGCACATTGCAGAGAAAGGTCTGACCCTTGAGCGGTCCAGAAGACCATATCTAAGCCCTTGGGCCATCCTGACATTCCACGATTAGAAGGCCTTGGGTCAGGTGACATGGTCTATGCTAACAATGCAATCAATGGTAGGCCCTTGGGCCTGGGGGCTGGAGACTGAATAACTGAGGTCAGTTGTGTGGGTGCTGCATCATACCTACTTGACTAACTTCCAGTAAATACCCTGGATGCCTCATGGGTGTGGTGGCTCACGCTTGTAAACCCAGCACTCTGAGAGGCCGAGGCAGGAGGATTGATTTGAGGTGTTTGAGACCAGCCTGGACAACATAGCAAGACCTCATCTTTATAGGAAATTTTAAAAATGAGTTGAGTGCGGTGGCACATGCCTGTAGTCCCAGCTATTTGGGAGGCTGAGGCAGAAGTATTGTCTGAGTCCAGGAAATTGCACCTGCAGTGAGCTGTGATTATGCATTCCAACATGGGAAACAGTGTGAGACCCTGACTAAAAAACAACAACCACAACCCTGGATGCCAAGGCTCAGGTGAGCTGCCCTGGTTGGTAACACTCTGTGCATGGTGTCACACACTCCACTGGTAGAGGACAGCTGGGAGCTCACTCCTGGTCTCTCCTGGCTCCACCCTGTGAACCTTTTCCCTTTGCTGATTTCAATGTATATCCTTTTGCTGTAAGAAACTGTAACTGTGAGTATAACAGTGTTAGTTCATACTCCTAGCAGGGCTTCCAGAACGTTAGGCCTGCTGGAGGTGTGGGTGTCTGGTGTGCGATTTGGTGCTTCGTGAAAAATACAAAAAATTGCACAGAGGTTAGAATAGAAAATGTAGTTTATTTAGAAAGTAAATGAGAGAGAGAGAGAGAAGGATATCGATTCACCTCTCCAAGGTTAGAGCTTAGGAAAACATGGCCTGGCCATAGCTCAAAGAGCACATGGCCACACCATAGCTTGGCAAGGCAATGGCCACTGGCTGATTGTGGTTGAGTCCTTTTAACCATTCCCTTTGATGGGGGAAGGTCATTAAGGTGATTGGGTGGTGGTCTGCTTCACATCATCATGAAGGGGTAGGTAAGCGCAGGTACTGAAGTCCGGTGATGGACAGCAGGCAGATGGGTGGGTTAGTCACATGATTGCTTTTTTCTGGTATTTGAGTATGGAGTCTCACTCTGTCACTCAGCCTTGACCTGCTGGGCTCAGGCGATCCTTCCATCTCAGCCTTCCAAGTAGCTGGAACCACAGGCACGTGCCACCACATCCAGCTAATTTTTTGATTTACTAAGAGATGAGGTCTCACCAAGTTGCCCAGGCTGGTCTCGAATCCCTGGATTCAGTTCATCCTCTCTCCTTTGCCTCCCAAAGTGCTGGGATTATAGGCATGAGCCACCATGCCCAGCCTAGTCACATGATTGCTGCCACGGTGGTGGGGTCTGTCTGTGTCATGAAGGTCATGAAGAACTGATTAGGTTAACTTGGTTCTTATGGGTGGAGGCAAATACTTGGAGAGGAAAAACTGATTAGTAACAAGCTGTAAAGCAATTATCAATAGCTACCTCTAAGAAACCTGTTCTGTTCTTGGCTAGTGATTAGAGGGTAAGTTAAGTGAACTGCTAGAAAAACATGAGATCTAGGCAATATTAACATGGCTGCTTATTGGGTATATTAAATCCATGTTGTGTCTTTTCAAACAGCTTTGCTGTGCCCGGTGAGCCCAAATGACCAAACCTGAGGATGGTCTTGGGGACCCTGGACACAACAGATGTCAGTAAACTCCTGCTCAGAAGGGGATGAACTGCAGACTCTCTTCTTGGCCCTCCGCCTAGGTTTCCCCCATGAGCCCCACAATTACCCTTTAAGCTTGATTCTTAGCCTTGTTCAGAGAGGCTAAGTGACTCACCCAGTCACACAGCCTGGGATTGAAGCCCGTCTGTCTGTCTGCCAGACCCTGGAGTGCCCTCTTGTGTTTTCTCTTGACTCTGGGAAAAGAGTTCAGCCCCATAGCCACCTCCTGGGAGACCCATCCACTTTCCAGTCTCAACTTTATTTGTGGAGCTGCTGCCGGCTCCCTGCTACTCCCACCCCACCACCCACACACAGGGATGTCACATTTTTCCTGAAGTCGGTCTCCTCGTCTCTACGATCCTCTAACGTGGGAACTTTAAAGTCAAACTCCGGGACAGCATCGCCGCCACATGTGTCCTTCAGAGGGGAGGGGAAGCTGATCGCCAGGCACTGGTTCCTCTCCTGCCTCTCCCCAGGGTGGGTTGGGTGACAGTTGAGCCTGTCTGCAGGGCAGCTTCGACCAGGACCAGGCTGTGCCACCTCCCCTGGCTCAGCCCTGTCATCTGCCCTCCTGGCCTGGAAACTCTGCTGCCCTGCCCTCACTGGGGTGCTCCTGCCTCCTGTCTTCCATCTTGCAGCTTCCTGTGCTGGCGTGTCATCATCTCTCCCTGCACGCTGCCACAGGGCTGTGACAACGTGGAGCTCCTTATGGGCGGGACCTGGGTCTGATTCCTGTCAATGTCCCCATCCCAGGTCCTGGTACATGGGAGACCACAAAAGTGAACACCTGGAATGTTCTTCTCTACCAAGGAGACCCTGCTCACCCTTCCAGACCCAAGCTTCTTCCCTGTGCCTTGGGATCCTGGTCGTCATTGGCATTTAGAATAAAAGCAGGGAATTTAGGGAGAGGGGGCCCCTTCATATTGATGCTTTTGATCTGAACAGACCTGCAAACCAGAGATCTGGATGCAGGCTTTGTTTGTTTGTTTGTTTGCTTTGAGTTAGGGTTTCACTCTGTTGCCCAGGCTGGAGTATAGTGGCACGATCATGGCTCACTGCAGCCTTAACCTCCCGAGTAGCTGGGACTATAGGTGTGTGCTACCATACCCTGCTGTAGAGAGGAGGTCTTGCTATGGTGCCCAGGCTGGTCTCTAACTCCTGGGCTCAAATAATCCTACTGCTTTGGACTCCCAAAGTGCTGGGTTTATGGACATGAACCACCACATCCAGCCCATGGTGCCTTTTGAAAACATTGTCTCAATTATTAATGTGCTCAAATCAAGACATTTCTCACTGACATCAAGATTTCTGGATTTTTCCTTGAAAAAAAGCTGGCAAAAATGGCCCCACGTTCCTGATCTACAGGGTGGGGTGGGGAGAAATTGGAGCAGGCTCCTCTGTAGTACCCCCTTTGGGAGGAGAACCTGCTGTCAAGACCAACGGTCCTCACCACGCCATCTGTACCCATCTTGTTCCCTGCCTGGCTGCCATGGGCTTGAGTTTGCAACTTCTGCTCTAGAGTCTTACAAGGCCAGGAGAAAATGTCCAGGGACAGGGACAACTGCTGTAGGGGTCAAGGGTCATGGGATTCAGGAGGTCTGAGCCGCTCACAGCCATGCTGTGTGGCCTGAGGTACAGTGAGCCTAGGTTTCCCTGATTGCAATGTGGGTGTGCAGAGGACACCCCCCCCCAATGTCCCTGCAAAGATACTCTTGGGGGTTCTTTGTTGTTTCAGCCACTTCCGTCTACAAGTCAGTTTCTCTCTCTGCAGGATGAGGCTGAGTTTGATACGTGGTGCCCTGAGGACAGGTCTCTGTCACACTGGGCTTGCGGTGGCCCGTGTGGCCTCTGCCACAGTAACAGCCCATTTCCTGGTGCTGTCTGCTGCATGTCCTCACATGTTCAGTCGCTGCCCTTGGGGGTGGATGTCAGGTGTGTTCCCTGCGTGGCTAACTGGAGGCAGGGCACCCAGGAGGCCCTGGGGGTGAGTCGGGCAGCAGGCCTCCAGGTCTGGAGTCTGGTTGGAGTTGCTTCTCTAGTCTGCAGGTCTGACTGGGCCCAGCATCCACGAGTGTGTCAGAATCCCTCTGGGAGCGTGAGCATCTCCACTTGTCTCTCTCTCTCAAGAGCCCTAGACTACGGGAGAACCAGACTCTGTTGTTCCTCTGCCTTGGGGGAGTCCCTTCCCGCTCTGGGTCTTCAACACGGAGGGATCTATCCTGTCCCCTTCAGCCTCTGTTATGGCCGAAGTGTGAATTACACACCCGCCCCCCCATCCATCCCACCTCCCATCATCTAGCCCCCAGGGCCTCAGAATGTGACTGCATTTAGAGATGGGGCCTTTTCACAGGTAATCAAGGTAAAATGAGGTCAGTAGGGTGGGCCCTAATCCAATATGACTGGTGTCCTCAAACGAAGAAGGGATTGGGGCTGGATGTGGTGGCTCACGCCTGTAATCCCAGCACTTTGGGAGGCTGAAGCAGGAGGATTACTTGAACCCAGGAGTTCGAGACCAGCCTAGGCAACACAGCGAGACCTCATTCCTATGAAAAAACAAACTAGCTGGGCGTGGTGGTACACACCTGCAGTCCCAGCTACTTGAGAGGCTAAGGCAGAAGGATCACCTGAGTTCAGAAGGTGGAGGCTGCAGTGAGCCATGAGGGGTCCACTGCTCTCCAGCCTGGGTGACAGAGTGAGACCCCCCCCAAAAAAAATAGGATTAGAATACACACACATACAGAAGGAAGACTGAAGACACAGGCAGGATGCTGTCTGCAAGTTAAGAAGCAAGGCCTCAACCCTGCCAACACCTGGGTCAGGGAGGCCCAACCTCCAGAAGGGTGAGGACATAAATGTCCCTCATTGAACTCCCCCAGGCTGTGATACTTTGAACAAGGGTCTCCTGTTGGTTCTGGACTGGGCTGGCCCCCGCAGGGACTCACCTCCAGGCCAGGCCAGGCCAGTGGGGTTTCAGCTTCACACTCCTTGGGTGTTTCTGGCTCCCCAGGCACCTCCATTTTCCTGAGGGTCACGCCCTCCTGGGTGTTGAGAGTTTGGCATGCCTTCCACCATTTAAGCATCTTCATTCTAAGGCAAGGAGTCATGTGGTGAGTGCTGTGCTGGGTCTCTGCTCCCCAGGGGTTCCCAGGACCCCTGGGCTGGGCCCAGATGACCAAGCTCCATCCACGTGCTGTTCTGTCAAATGGCCATAAGAATCCCTATTCCCTTGGCCTGGACCCTCTCTCTAACCTCTTTCCTGGCCTCCTGGTCTCCAATCCGTCCCCCAGCCTGGCCCTAGAACTGCCCTGACCCTCCCCCCTGCTCATGCTCCCCCCGTGGCTTCCAGTGCTCCCGGAGCACAGAACTCAGCCTTTCAGCCCAGTGGCCCTTCATGCCTGGGCCTTTCAAGTTTCTCCTGTAATGTCTCAATTTATACTTTTTGTTTTTGGACAGGTTTTTTTTTTTCACCTTTCTTCTTCCTCCTACTATTTCTGGCAGATGTCTGCATGTCAGGACACAGAGCTGCCTTGGTCTTTTTTGACAGCTGTGTCTCTCTGTTGTGTGGACGTGTCACAGATTATATAATCGGTCCCCTTCCTTTTTTTTAATTCGCTTTTTAATTGTATAGGCCATCTGAAGGACTTTTCCCCCCTTCCTTTCTAGGTCTGGCAGCTGCAGGGGCCACCTGCTGGTCCCCTGCCCCTGGCTCTGCCCTTCTGCCCTGCCTTTAAAGATGCTCCCCTGACCCCCAGCCCTCTCCAGACAGAGATCCCCCGTTGCTTTCTTTTGCATTGAGAGAATAAGATCCAAACCCCCACTTCCTGTGTGAAAACCCTCCCCCTACAGAAATGCCTGAAAATGCTGATGAAAGTAAAGAAGGTGGGGCTGAGGCCATGAGGCCCTGCTGGGTGAGGATCTGAGGCAATGTGTGACCCCAGCCGGCTGCAGGCTGCCGGGTTGGGGGAAGGGGGCATTTGTTGTTTTGAGGTAACTCTCTGCCGGCCTGTGTCCCACCCCTGCTGTGCTGTGCACTCCCTTGACCTCACCTCTTCCCAGATCCCTTCTTTCTCCCTCAGGACTCCTCCAAAGCCCTCCCATCCCCCCCCAATGCGAGCTGCCCTGCCTCTGGTCTGATTCCCTAGGGGGCCGGAGTCCATGTCTGCATGTTTTGTTTTGAGATCCCCCACACACTTTTAAAAAATTTTTTTGGCTGGGCTCGGTGGCTCAGCCTGTAATCCCACGCCTTTGGGAGGCTGAGGTGAGTGGATTGCCTGAGCCCGCGGGGTGGAGACCCATCTTGGCAACTTGGCGAGACCTCATCTCTACAATAAATCAAAAAATCAGCCAGGCGTGGTAGCG